TGCGAGGCAGCACATGGCCAGAGGCCCCTTCCCCAACATAGGTCGTGGCCCGTCCACCTGGCCGCGTGCGGGTGGTGAAACCCACCCCGACACCAGATGGGTCAGAGGATACTTTTGCCGCAGCCGCCGGTCTCTCTTATCACAGCAGAACGAGTCTCGGAGAGTTTGCTTCTTGCCTTCGTAGAAGGCCTTGGAGCCATTTCCGGAGCGGCGGTCTGCAGGGCTGCTACAAGTCGCAGTGCTGTGGATCCCTCGCTCCTGTTTCACTGTAGTGGCTAACCACGCTTTTAGCTCAGCGACGTGCAGTGCTAACGGAGGAGTTCAGACACACACGGGCAGATTTTCACAGAGTACAAGTCCACCATTGTACAGCTCTTACACAGCACCGTCCCCGTAAAGACGATTTACCATTTATGCAAACGCTAATTGTTACTCTGTGCAAAGGAAACTGATGTCCGTGACCGAAAAAGCCATTACCACAAAAGTCTTAAATTAGGAAAGGAGAATTCAGTTCTCGCCTCTCTCTGCCACAGAGTTTTCATGTGACGTGAGACAGATTGCTCAGCCTCTCTCATCGTCAGAAAAGCAGATAAAAGCGGCTTCTTGGCAAACTAGATTGCAAACTCTTTGGGACAGAGACTTTGCTTTTAGCTGTGGTCAGAGCCTGTCACGGTTGGGCCCTGTACTTGGCTGGGAAATGCAGACACCAAGGGAATACAAAAATAATGGGAAAAACTGTAATTAACTGCTTGGAAAAAATCAGGATTGTGAGGAACTCATACCAGTTCTAACAATTACTACATATTTATAAAATTCAGTTTTTACTCTACGAGTGCCCTGTTTTTGACAGGTTACAAGATCATGACCACCACCGTTTATTTTACAGCTCAGCCTTGGACCAGATAAAATGGTAATAGACCTCACAGATCCAAATCGCCCCCGGTTCACATTACAGGAGCTGCGAGATGTATTGCAAGAGCGTAACCAGCTGAAAGCTCAGCTTCTTGTGGTGCAAGAGGAGCTACAGTGCTATAAGAGGTATATTGTGAAGTCAGCAACAAACTAATAACAATTACTTCTTGTCTGGGGAGCTTACCAGACCGGAGTATTGCAGGTTTGAGCACTTAGATTGGGCTAGGAACTGTCCAGACATATGAGAGACATCTGTGCTCCCAAGAGCCTACAAATGACCAAAGAAAAATGGGGGAATGATGAAGTCTCTATGCAACATAATTTTAAAACTAAACTCCCTCTTAGTTCGCAGCCTGTTCCCATAATTGTACTGCTGTAAGCCTACGTACGGTTACTCCCACTCCACCTACAAGCTGGGTTCTCGGGCACATGAGTTCATCTATGCAGTCACAGCAGTTGCGCGCATACTGTTCTCCCCTAAAGCCACGCTACAGACCAGAGAGCATGGGGATTTCCACCTCAGCTTTAGTAAAAATTTCCTTCTTCCCCCAGCTTGCCATCGGGGACACTAGCTTATCTCCTGTTCCTTTGCTCCCACAGTGGGTATGGCATTGATCTAGAAAGCAGAATAGTAAGCCCTTTCATCGTCATTCAAGATAAGCTGTGGGTTTTTTTTTTAAGACTGCCCACAGAGGGTTGTGTAAGGCACTTGAACTGTGCAAAACAAGTGCTCTCAGAGAAGGATTTTGGTCTTTCTAGAAGGGACCAGCCTGGCAGAATCACTGTGAGCCAAAGGGTGGGATGCAGGAAGGGCCTCGCTCTTGGTGCTACAAATTCCCTCAGCTCCAAGGCTGCTCTCCCCCAGCCTCTGCCCCTCCTCATCAGGTTGTATTATAAACCCTTCAGGGCAAGAAACTACTTCTTAATCTGGACACAAAATGCCTGAGCACATTAGATTTCAGTTGAGATATCTCAGCAACAACCTCTTAGATACAGTAAGCCCGCCTTTTGCCTTGTTTGTAACAGGCAGGTTACGCCAAGAAGTTAAAGTTAAACCCAAGAAGTCAGTTTACAAACCGCTCTCCAGCACTTCTCACAGCGCAGCGAGGCACCGCTTCCCCAGCTCGGCTGCCGGCCTTTGCTGTGTGGCCATTGGAATGGCTTCTTGCTTTGATTTCCCAGCTGTGTCACACAGCTTATTACAAGCCAAGTTAAAAATTAACAGTGTGAATGTTTTCAATTTTTGAGTGATGGAAGGCACAGTGCTGTGCACCTAGAGAGTGTGTCAAGGCTGCTTTTCAGTTCAAGTAATTCTATGTGGTTATCTCCTCGTACAGCATTACAGCTTAAGCCAAAAACCATCTTCCCTTTAAACATTCACATAAAATCCTAATTATAATTGTATGGCCATAAAGAGTAGTTGTGCAGAGGAAGAGGATAAATATATGTTCTAAAATGTCTTGTGTATACTGGAAATAAGCCCCATGTAGCACGAGGTAACTGACATCCTCACAGAGAATGGCTTAAAATGACTGATGATGTTTGGGGGACTGCATTTTCAATCGTGATTTCTGCGTAGAAGTTATCGTGCAGATATTAGAGATCTGCAGTGTCACCAAACAGCACATAGTCCGGCTTCTCTTAAGATGAGAATCTGCCTCAGAATTATCCCATGCCTGATGTCACGCCAGTTTCTAGATACTCGCCTGCATTTTTATTTCCAAGGTCCAGACGAGTGTTACTTAGCTACTTTCAGCCTTCAGCTACTGCAGTCACAAGCTTTGATCCACTCGGCTCTCAAGATAAATGAGGTCAGCTCAGGACAGTAAATTGGCACGCTGTGAAAACGTAGTGTAGCATGCAAGCTGGTAAAATCTAACCCAACTCCAAGCAGGGGAAACATCCTTTGGTAAAACTGAAGCTTTTGCCTAAAGTAGGCGGTTACAACCTTGTAGAGTGCGGCAGCATCGAAGCAGGATGACAAAATCTACAGCTCAGGCAAAGCCTTTCTTTTCTCCTCCGTAGGATGGAAAGAGGAACAGCCTTGCAGGGAAGCTGGGACTCTCCCATCTGTTCCCAGCTGCGTGGTGCGAGCCTTCGTGGCTGCGCTGAAGGTACCACAGATCCACCCAAGCAGAAATTTTCCATTTGTCTGCGCCCTACTGTTATCTTTGTACTCTCGTACAGATCCAGCGTGTAATTACACTTCCCTTTCACTCCTGTTCCGATTTGCCGTTCTTCCTCTGCGGAGAAGTCAGCTTGTTACTTTTTTAGTGTTCTCATTAAAGCACAGCCTAAGCAAAACTACACTGCGCTATTTAAAGGAAAAGAGCAATTCATTACCAGAAGTAGGCCAGGCTGCCGTACCTGTGCCGTGAACACCCATTCACCCTCGTCCTGGGCTGCCCAGTGAAGGGTTTAACACAGACAGTGAGGCCACGCTATGCCAAAAACCACAAAAAATAAACAAACCCTCTTCTTTTCCCAGCGGGATCATCTCACAGAGAAGGGACCAAACTGAAGAACGGGAAAAAGAGGGCAGTGGCAGCAGCCCTGGCATCAGCAAGGACAGCGAGGAGAAGACAATCATCAAACGGCTGTAAGTTTGTCTGCATCTTTTTTGGCAGAATGTGGCAGAATATGGCATGCTTCATACTTCGTGAAGCCAGGGATGAATTCTGAACTTGGGCCTAGTTAGCTGGATATTGTTTTCTCCTCCTCTCCCTGTAAAATTAAAATGGGATAGAGAAATCCTTTCCTGTGGAAAAAGCACTCCACAGGAAGACAACCTCCGCCCAGGCAAGCAGGGCATCACTTTTTTCTAGGAAAAAATAAGCATTTTGGAGCAAAACTGTGCTATAGTTGCCTCCCCTGCTAGCGCATTAAGACTCTGCTGTAAGAACACGCCGGCTGTCCCTGGAGGTTTGTTTACATTGTATGAAGCAGCCGTCCGCAGTACCCACAGGCCCAGGCCGTCCCTGAAGTTCCCCAAAATAGCGGAACACATTGACACGGCCGTCTCACTGCATGTTCCTTCTTTTCCAGTTGTACACTATTGTTTCCTTTCTGTTGTCTTTTTTTTTTTTTTAGGTTCTCTTTTAAACATGGAAAATGAGCATCCTTGAGAACTTAACCACTTCTGTTCAGAAATGGCACTGATGAGAGCTCCTAAAGCGTCAGGGGAGCCAATGATTGGAAGAAAAAGCATCACTCCTACTGTAGAGAATAAGCAATCTCATAAAAATTGTGTTGTATAATATTCTTTCAGAATAGATTTTACTTTGCTGTTTTAGAAACTGTTTAAGACAGACACTTTTTGTATTTCTTAGATTCCGGCCAGACATTACCCACATGTAGAGAATAAATGTTTATACAAAGGTGATTTTTATTCTTATTGAAAGAGCCTGTGATGATCTGTACTACCACTTATTTTTTGTGTCCACCTATCAAAATGCTCAGCCCAAATGATTTTGCAAGACGAAGACATTTTTGAGAGATACGCGCCATTCACAAGTGCATTCATAGAGAAGCGCTGGGAAGGAAGAACCCACGGAGATTGCAGTCCCCACCGCTCTTATGTGGAAAGTAACTGTCTTATGCTAACGCAGAACTGCTTGAGAGACCCCGGCGTCGCTTTTTGTTCTGTGTCTTTCTTTGCATTAGATGGGCAGCAGCAGGCAGAAGCCTGTCACACCCCGCCCCGCCGAAGGCAGACGCAGTTGGGCTGTGACAGCAGAACCCCTGCGCGCACACAGGAGTGGCCGTTTGAGGTCGAGATGAAAGATGGTGGAGAAGAGCACGGCAAGGGAAGAAAAGCTGCTGCATCGTGCTCTACCCACATGGAGGGCTGATGTCTTTTGAGCACGTCTGCACCTCTGAAACTGGAACAGATGCACCAAACGTTTCGTTTCTGACAGCTACAGGTCTCCTGTGGTAGACAGTTGTACTTTTCATAAGCTCTGTTCTTTCAATCAACTGTCACAAGCTGTGTATTAGCCCTAGTAATGAGATTTATCATTTGCAGAAGCATATAGGGCAAACAGAGGAATAGAAAAGCAGCTTGAAATATACCAATTAGGTTCCACATTTAGAAAAGTAGAATTTCAAGAGCAGAAAAGTCTGAACAGACATAAAAGGAGCAGTGACAGGTATCAGACTATGATCTTACTCTCTTCAGAACTGAAAGCAGGCTCTGAAATCTTTTGATTCCCTCTCATACACTAGCAGCATGAAAAATACAGGACGCTTCACACATCTGCTCAGATGCGCAACACGAATGTGGCTTAGCAGAAGGCAGAACTGCAGTCTCCTTTCAGAGGGAATTTGTTAGCAACTGTACGTTAGCAAGGCAACATCAAAGATGTCTGACCTAAGCAAGCTGGTTTAGCCGGGGCACAGAACTGCTGAAGTCCTTTTGCCATCTTCAAAATACTAATAAGCCTTGGGAATGTCCCTGCAACCTATTTTCTAGAGCACAGTAGCAGGGAAGGAAGTTACTGCATTTCCTTAGCAGAGGCTTTGTGTTTAGAGGGGAAAAAAAAAAAAAAACCACCCAAACCCAAACAATCATGCATCAGCAACAGGCAGGATACACCTCTAAGCTGAAAAGAGATGTTTATGTGGGCTCTCAACTCCATCCTCTTCTGTGGTTTATCCAGGGATATATATTTTCCATTCTCCTTTAAAAAGGGGGGGGGGAATTATGCCCCAAAACACATTAATCACTCTACTAAGTCTTAATAGAAAAACTTCAGGTAATAAACTGCACAGATTAAACAGAGCTGTGAAAAAGTAACAACCTGCCACGGGGGCACAGAAGACTACCATAGCCCTAGGCCACTCTGCAGTTAGTTGAAGGAGACAACAATGAAAGCTGCAATTATTCTTTTCAGTTTACCATTTAAGATGTTCTTTATTAAAAAAAAAAAAAAAAGAGGTGGGAGTTGACCGGTTACAGTAGACAGGAGAGCACCTCAACCTTTTGGGGCTAGTCTTTCTCTGGAACCACCACAGTTGCATCCACTCTGGTGCCAAGTGAGCTGCACAGCTTCTCTCTCAAAAGGGGAGCAAATTCCTTGGCTACGGCTACAACAGAAGAGGCTACAGTTAGAGGAACCCCGCTGCCTCTGGCAAAGCCACCCGAGCCTGACAAAAGCAGTTCAGCTCCCAGCCCAAGGGCATCTTCCCTGCTAGGTGCTTTACACCTCGTTACAAGATGAAACCTTCCTGTAAGGCACAGAGATAAAAATCCAAATGGCATGTTTCTCTGAGAAGGGGGGAGAGAGAAAGAGAGAGAGAGATGAGAGATATATATCTCAGTTCCTAGAAAAGTAAAGGATACATACGCAGTGCAACATCAGCTTTATTACCACCTTCGGATGCAGTGCTACTTGATTACCAGTTAAGCGTTTCAGAGAAGACAATTTTCTTTTTATGTAAAATAGGGAGAGATCTTCCCCCTTTCTTGTTTACAAAAGTGATGCTGAAGAACAAAGGTTTTAAGCTATTTGACCTGATAGAGAACAAGCAAATGTTTAAATAAAAAAAAAACCCAACAGAAGAAGCATTTTATTCCAATTTCCACTTAAGGGAAGTGCTCCAGTGAAACGGGATACCGCACACATGGCTGTAGTCTCCGTTACTGAGACCAGAGAAAAATCAGTGCCAACTCAATTAAGTCAGCCAACGAAGTCTACCTGTAACTCAGTACATGTAAGGTAACAGGTCTCCACTTAATTCTTCAGAAATGGTGAAAATACACAGGCTGTCTCTGACGAGCTTGCCTCGTGTTAAGTGGTAAATAATATAAGCATTTAATGGCTAATGATTTTCACAGCTTTCTTTCAAAATGCTAACAATCTGCAATGGAGACAGGTACTATAGCAGCCACTTCATCGATAATAAATATATTCTTTATTTTACAGAGACATTGTCTTCAAGTTTTTAATTTAAAAAATACATCACTAAGCCACCTCTCTTGCTGCTGGAGCATACAACCAGGATGTTGTTGCTATTTGACCTATCACATAGGCAAGCATATAAGATTGTCCTAGAGGGCGTTAGCTGGAACAGCAGCAGCCTTCAAGACATGAGGAACAGAAGACATTAACAGAGCCACAGATCCCTTGCCGACATCTCCCAGCAGCAAGCGTGGCTGATGGCTCACAGCCATTTTCATCTACACGCATGCCAAGCCTGCCTTGGCAAAAATTCCAACTGGTAAGAATTCATCTTTAACATAAAGGACCCGCATTGTATTGCCCGCCTATATCACAGATTTGGTTCTCCAACAGTGACAATGCAAACATCCGCAAGACGCTAAGCGCTCAGCTCCCATTTAAGACAGTGGGACCAGACCGTGCTGGACAGACCTACAGGACCAGGCAATAAGGAATCTACTTTCTTCATTGCATGAACTCCATCATTACAGTTTGAAGCTGCATATGAAGATGACTCCTATTTTTGGAACCGCTATGCTCTACTTCAAGCATTCACAGTAAATAAATAGCTTCTGATGTGGCTAATTAGCATAGGAAGGTAATAAAAAAATTTTTGGAGAGAACTTCTTCTTTTACTTCTTTAAAATCCTCTGGGAGACACCTCCAAGAAGCAGCCATCACCTATAAAAAGGTACCATCTTAAATTTTAGAAAATAAGTAATGTCAAACATTGATTCTCACTGTGAAGTTCTATCTTCACATTTCTAATCAGTATTAACCCAGTCTATCAAAATCCATCCTCATTTGGCTTGGAGTCATTTCTCTGAAGAAAGCAACCAATTTGACCATCCATTTCCCTCAGCACCAGTGCATTTAAAGTTCATCGCCAACACGAGATACGACACTGGAAAAACTGGATCCCTACCACAAATTATTTGAGAACGATAGTAGCATCCACCTCAGAGAAGCCTGTCAGCACTGGGTTGTAAAAAGCAGTCTGACAAGCAGTCAAGCCATTGGATGTACGAGTCAGAGTAAGAAGTACATCTGCTGTCATAAAGCTAATGCCGAGTTCGTCACCCCACAAAGTGGAGCATGAGATTTCATTGCAAAAGCAGAAGCACAACCCAAGTGATTAAAGTTTCTGTGCAAGTCTTTGCATGCTCAAGTGGCACTGGTCACTATGCAGAAGTATTCAAATTTTAAGGAGGGTTTCCTTTTGTGATATAAAAGTTTTGGCAATCTAAGATGAATTATTCAAGCCTGCCTGGAAAACTGTAATAGGTATTTAAATACTGCAAAGCAAAAAGGTAGTTTCTAAGGAGCTCAGAACACCATAAGCAGTCCACTAAGAAAGCTGAGGAAAGTGAGGACAGGAAAAAAAAAAAATCCACTGACTCTCTGTAGAGCACTCAGTCCAAAAAACAAACCAAAAAACCCCAAACAAAGAAGATGAATTAGTGTTTCAGCCACGGATGAGCTTCAATGGAAGCTTTGCTTCTGTCTCCATAGTCGTACAACAGTTCTTCACCTGCTTTAATGTCTCTGGAAGCTATCAGTATGAGATGAGGCACGCCATCAATGTCATGAAGCTTTGTCTGACAATTGCCACATTTGCTGTGATTAATCAGTCTTCCCAGGCGATCAGTTTCTTTTGTAGCATCAACACTGAAAGAACAAGAACAGAACTCAGGGTTGCTGCATATCACGCGGTCACGTTTGTGGACCAAAACCAAAGTGCAAATCAGATAAGGAATGAGGAATCCACCCAAGGCTTGAGAAATGAAGGAAAAACATGACATTACAGAATATTCATGATTAAACAGACAGCATATAATATGGCAATGTAAGTAAACTAAAGCAATTCTGGGAGATTAAGTTAGCACAAAACCCAGAAAATGGAAAATTTTGGACTATGTTTTCGAGCTGCCTGTTTCCAAGCAGCTCTCAGCTGTTCATGAGGAATAGCAGAATCCAGATGTAGAACACCACCAGAAAGGCTTGATACCTTAAACACCCTCCCCTCAAGAAAGCTCTGTCCAAGCTAAGTGGTATCCACTGAGTAAACCAGCAAGAGTCTCTACTCACACGGGAGGCTGAGAATGCCTAAAAACTACATGCCCAACTTCCAGAGACCTGGATACTAAAGCTCTAGTGCCCCTCATTGCGCAAAGATTTGTTATGGCAGCTGTCATTATGGCATCCAGACTGCAAGTCAGACACTTAGAATACAGGGCGCTTCAAGGTCATTAACACACAGGTTAAGTGACCCACGCTCCAGTATCCAGTAACATCAGCCAAGGAGGAAAGAACA